ATATGTACTCCCCATCACAATCCTGCCAAAAATGAGTTATCAACGCATTAACAGGACCATCAAAAACCTGAGTGAAGACTGTCACGGTGCCAGATCGGACACACAGGGAGCACTTGGTGATTGGCACCATCTCCTGCACTGTTTGATTGTTTTTTTTAATCTCTCTCCCCCCTCACTCTGTGATCTTCACACAAGATATGCACGACCGTCTGCAGAGTTGAACTCAAGATCAATCTGGTAATAATTTTAATTGCATGCTTTAGAGTGCTCTCACCGTCTTTTATATTTATTGTACCTATTACGTCATGGTCCTGAAAATGATGTGTAATATAATATCCAATATAAACAACCTCAGAGGGAAAAGCTGTTGTGAAATAGGACACATGATAAAGGCATGGATCATTTTTTTCCCCAACTTCCTTGTCTTGTTATTGACATACCTGAATATAATTAACAAATTAGAATAATCTTAAAATATAAGACAGCTTAACTATAAAATATATGACAAACTTCATACTGCCTCACTTTCCAAAGAAATACAACTCCAGCTCCAGCAGTTAATGCTATCTGCCAAGATGTTTTATTATAGTGAACCGTTTTACAAAGCAATATGTAAATATTCCAAAAGTTAGAGCTCCAGCTGTTTTAGAACCACAACTCCCATGATGCATGATGCTTTGGCAGCTGTAATTATAAAATATCTGGAGAGCCACCCAATGTGACCACCCAAATAAGAGACCTAGTGGATTTGGAAACGAGTATTGACCACAAACTTTATTGAAATTGTCCCAGAATAAAAATCAACAATTTCAACCTGCCAATTCCTGTTCATATAGGGACACAGTATATGTGTACACAAACCCAAAAAGTGCAATTAGTGCCAAATTAGGTACAAGCAGAAAAAAACTTCCCTGTACAAGGTGAAGCTTTCCATGGTATCCCCAAAGATTTCCTCTTGTCTTCCACAAAATATAAGCAAAAAATAGGGGATGATCTGCTAAACCAATAACAAACTAAAAAACATAGCGTATAACTGTGTATATGAATTAACCACAAGTGCTGTATTCACAAATGGCCACTCACACATTTACTGAAGTTAAAGAGCCTTAAGTATAAATTCCTTCCCATTATTCAATTCTTCCACCTGTATTTAAATTACCATGGATTGGCTGGAATATATGTGTTCAAGAGAGAAAGAATAATAAAATTGTAGTGCACATGCAAGAGTGTAGTAAAAAATTTATTTAATCACTTACATCAAGGTTAAAAACAATAGGTGTAGTATATCTGAATGACCACCAGGGATCCTACGCGTTTCGTCCGTGCATAGGACTTCCTCAGGGACTTTGGTAGTGTGCAGTTATATGCTATGTTTTTTCGTTTGTTATTGGTTTAGCAGATCATCCCCTATTTTTTGCTTATCTTATAGGGACACCCCTGGTACCAAAACAATTTAACACACACACACACATATCTATCTGTTAGATGTGAAAAAACTAAATTAAAATTGATAGGTGAATTTCAATATTTTATATATCTTATATATTTTGTATATTGTTTAACCCTTTGCTTCATAACATCTTTTCTTTTTTTAACTATTTTCTGAACGTTTTTCCATCAATCACTTTTTTTTATTTACTATTTTTTTAATGGAACAAAGGATCTTTTTATACAAGCATTTAATCAATTGGAGAGATCGCTTCAGTGTGCTTGTTTTCTGCTTAGTGACACAAGCAATTTTGGCGTATTTTGCTATGTGTGTGTTCAAACACTAGTCTGACTTCCAACGTATCCTTATGAACTTTTCATCTACACAGAACTGGAGCTTTCTGGTAGTTCTCTGAGAAGTTGGTGGCTTTATTCGCTTACCCCTCCTTTGTGGCAAACCTGCACCACTCTCCCACAACTTTTCCCCTCTGTTATCTTTCTTTGCCTTCTACTAGCTATCTTTTCCTTTCAATGTTTTATTTTTCTTTGTGTTGCTGTTTGAAATGTATTTAGGCCATGAGTTGATTATGAAGATTAATGAGCAAAAATGGTGAGATGTGGCCAGGGGGATTAATCTTCTGACCACCACAAAGTCTTTTAATAAGATTTTGTGTTTATGTACGATGATCCTGTTTGTGTCTGTATTGTCTGATTATGTAACCATTCTTGACAAATTGTATTGCCAGGTAACTTGATGCTCAATAAATATAGAATTTTTAAAAAGTGAGTAAATTCCCTAAAATGTACTTAGCAATAGCACAATATCTCCTATGTATACCTTTGCAAAGTATCAATCCTAATCTTAAACCTAACCATAATGCTTACCCTAATTTTAATCCTAGCAATTGCATTACAAATGTTCCCTCTGCTGTTGTCAGTAGTTGTCAGTAGAAGAATTCACTTGCTTATTTCAACAGAGGGATTCCCTTGCTGATCCTAATGCTAAACCTATTAACCCTAACACTAATGCTAAACCTAACCCTAATCCTTACCCTACCTCTAATCTTAATCCTAATCATAAATATAACCCCAATCTTAGCAATTGAAGTAGGGTTAGGATTAGAATTAGCAAGGGATTTGATGTCAGCAGAGGGAATCTCTTGTTAAATTTCAAATGGAATTCCTTCCTGATCTTAAAGGTATTCCCTTCCTGACACCACTCTCTGAGCGCTCTGTGTTTTACAATTGCAGGATTGACGGGATTATTTTCCTCTCTTCTGCTAAATCATAGTGGGCCAGTTCACAACAGGATTTAAATATTCAAATTCTCCCTGCAACTGCAACCCTTTACTCTGATCAGCACAGGGCAGCCTACATAGCCAAGAGCTACTCACCCTCTACAGCCAGTGAGTGTGCTGCATGGGGCTTGCAGGAAGACCTGATCTGAGTCTCCTCAGACCCCGTGGGTCTCATCCTATTGCAAGGAATCACAGGGATAAGCTGGACCTGGAAATTTAGCCACGGTAAGTTAAAGACTGAACTTCTAAATGTAAATTAAAGGGTTGAATGCAGAGCTAACTTTGAGTGCTGCATACAGCTCATCTATCAGTTTAGGGCCACTAAATCCTGCTAGCATGAAGTTGTAAAAACTGGGATTTAACTCCCCATTTAAAGGAATTTATGCAGCACGCACTCTGTCAGCATGGGGCCACTTACTCTCACACCATCTAACAGAGGTGAGCCCCATGTATCAAATTATATCTGGGGTTCGCAATTATTCTTAAATAGGCTCTGTCATCAAAACTAACTTTACCTAGTTTGCTTCCCCATAGCTCCTTGAGTCTGTATCTATTTTTATTTTTTCCTGAGCCCTCCAGTTTTCAGAAAATAAATGGACTAAAGTTTTTTCCCATCTTTAAGTTTTGAGGAGAGGATTTGTTTAAGGTTTTGGAAAGTTTAAATGTAGGGAAGAGGTATGTTTAGGGCATGTGGAGTTTAAAGGATTGTTTTCAAAGTTCTTACCCTCCCGTCTGCTGTAGTTTAGCCGTTCCTATGATTGATAGAGCTGCATGAGCTGTAATACAGTGTGCATCACTCAGTCATGTACCTCCTCCTCCTGACAGACATTTCCTGTGTGAGAGGCTGTTAGTGGGCAGATGGGAAGTGATGGGAAGGGATCTCTCCCACTTCCTGTCCCGCCTCACACAGACACTGGAGGAGCTAGGACAGTTTTACACCCTCTATAACTGTTTCTGCAGCTTTACTATCAAGTGGGGCTGAGTAGATTACAGAGGACACTGGCCGAGACTCCTTGTTCTTGTCTCTCCACATAAGCTCACTAAACGTGTTATTCACTAAAGAAAGAACTGCCATTATGTAGAGTAAGCACTTGCCTACAGTCGCATGTCTTGTAGGTGGCACCTGTTTTCATCTACAGTGTATAGTAGTTGTAATAGAGTTATTCTCTAATGTGAGAACTGTGGAGAATGTATAGTGAATTCAGGCACCCTCTACAGGACATGCAATTGTAGCAAGGTGCCTTATCTACCTAATGGGAAATACAGCCCGGGGCTGGATAAAACAGAATTCGAGCACACTGCTGCCAACACATCACACAAAACTACTGCACCTATTCACAACATACACACAGACACAAACGTGTTGAGTTTTAGTTTGTTTGATAAAAAACAAATTTAGTCAGTATTCACCTGATGTGAAAATAAAAAAATAACATGGGGACAGAATTTCCAGGTGCACACCCTAATGAGATGTACTACACATACCTGCATGTGCTAGTAGAAGGCACATTTACATAATAAATTCATCTGCTTTCCACAGACAAAAGTCCAGAAAGCCTCCGGCACTTCTTACCATAAACTTACTGCGTGCAGTAATTGCAGTAATATATATTTATTTACATAGTTATTCATGAACCAGATCTACAGTCTAAATAATGTGCCACAACCACTGACTCAGCATGCATTTATTAATACAGTATAATCTGTGGTTGCTAATAGCATTAATTGTAAGAAAGGGGTCAAATGTTTTTTCTCCCTACAAGACATAACAAGTTCCGCATTCAATCCACATTAAGGCACACGCAGCACACACCCTGCTAGTTACAAGGCATGTAGACAATTACTGTGGGAGTAGCAAATAAAAAGAGGTATTTGGGAAATTCTTGAAATCTTTGTAGTAGTAATTTCTCCATCGATATAATGTTTGTTCTGTCGGTATATACAAGTGAAACGTATAATAATGTTTTTATCCAATATTATGTATGAAAAAAAATATTTGCATTAAACAAATAATTTCATTTGTTTCATTTGTAGCCTGGGTTCAAAATGATAATATTTTATCAGATAACTCCACTTCCAGCTTTTTCTCTTTCACCTAAAGCATGGATGAACAACAGGGATGGACTTTCTGTTATTGCGAAACTATGCATTCCATGGTGCTTTGCCAACTTTTAGACGGACTCAACTTTATCGAAAGAGCTGGATGGGGTACTGCTTTATTGAAATGTTGAATTTGCATCTGCAAGTCAAACTGCTGATATGTGGGGCAAAGTGATTTGTTTGATTGTGCTTAAGTTAAAGGTAAACTATAGTCGCCCCACCTTCGCTGATCCCAGCCGGCATGAGGACCTAATGCATGGTGAGTGACACGCTCGCGTTAGGACTTCCTTTATAGGAAAGCATTGTATAATGCTTTCCTGTGGGGTTTTGGGTGATGCTGGGTGTCCTCATGCAGGTGAATGTTCAGGTGAGTAATCCTGTGAGCTTTGCAGGGTAGGCACCAAGTGCCAGAGGGACAGCTTCCTGCAGAAGTCGGCAAGAGTTTGTCCAGCTTGGACAGCACTACGGACATTGCTCCAGTGTAGTCAGATGTGGGGCATGTGGGATCTGCCATTTTAAGTGTGCCTGTTGGTGGATTAGCACTGCTTATAGCAGAACCGCATATCCCTGGAGATGTGAGTGAGCCTTTAGGGTGGGGACCGGGACCACCCCCACTGGTCCAGAGGGAGTGGGATAGCGGGGCTTCATTAAAATTTGGCCGAGGATCAGCCTGAGCTGGTTTGAGAGATCGTCTGCTATAAAATACATAGTATTAACTAGAGTGTCAGTTTAGCTGGCAGGTTTCCGGTTTCAGCAATTTTTATAGTGAAAAGGTCATTCAGAAAAATGAACAAGGACCCCTGTGGGGGATATTCCTGGAGGCAAATTTGACCTACTCCATCCCTTGGCCCTTGGCTGAGGAAGGAACTTGCCCTGTCCACCCTGACCCTTTATTATACATGCCCTGTATAGAATTGTGAGGGGAAGAGGGAGGAGCATGGCCTGATTGCTGCAGGTTTTGCGAGGATTCCCTGGACACTTAAAAATTTTTACCAATTCAAGAGTTACATGGCTATTTACTAAGGTGAGAATTGTCTGTAATTCAAAGGGAATTTTAGATTTTTTACTAAAATAGCCAAACTGGAAGCACAGCATACTTGGACAATCTTTTCAATTCAGCTATTTTATCCTTAAGTTTGAAATTACCTGTGATTTCCGGACAATTCTCACTTTGGTAAATAACCGTGTCTGCTGAGAGCATTGTGGGTGATTCCTGCTAAATGATGTGTTTGAGGATGTCCATCATCAGTTAATGAGTGTTCTAATGGTACTATTTATTGATGCTATAGGCTCCTTACCCTTCAGGTGAAGGTGCAGTATTGTGAAGAACCTCAGGCAGAATGCAGAGTGAAACTCTTATTAGATAAAATACATGTGTGGAATGTAAACCCTTCATTGGTGTTTGGGCATGTACACTGTTAGCCCCTGGGTATTTTCTTTTAAAACCAACACATTACAGTGTAAAATGGTTTGCATGTACTAGTAATTACATTTAGTTTTTTTTCCCATTAATTTCTTTATTTATGTATGTATGTATTACTGGCATTTATATAGCACCAACATATTCCGCAGCGCTGTACAATTGGATTGGGGTTTATACACTAAGCAACTATTTGTAGTGAACTGAAAGCAGAATTACAGCATTCAGGCAGAACTGGCTTGGAAAAACCTCCCCAACTCCATTATAGTCACAGTCTGGGTATTTAAGTCTAAATTTTGAAATTCTCTAGAATTTAAATTTTTCAGGACACACTATATGTCTTCATGCTTAATGGATTGCATATGAATGGTGCTTCCCTGCAGTATATGGATTTCATGGGGGAGGATTTCATAACTTTAGGATTCCATCAAGGATAGATCCTTCCTGCAGCATTTAAATACTATATACTACAAGGCAGCACTATTCGTGCTGTCTAACAGAAGGAAGCACTATGTCCAGAAAAATCATGGTAGATCTGTTAACCTTAAAACTACAGACAACACAGCCTGCAGTACTCTGTCATAGCAGTATCGATGGAATGCAGGGGTGAAATAGGTGTTCTCTGAGTAAGAGAATTAGTTACAGTTTCTGCAATCTGTCTCCCTGCATATCCTGTGCCTGCCCAACCCACTGTGAGTACTGTCTACATTTCCTGCTTATAACCTGAGAGAAGACACGGACTCTTAATTCTCATCGAGAAGGCTGGACAGTGATACACAACTTTATTTCCTTGAGTCCTGTGATTTACAAGAGGTGGTGAGGTGAGTCCAATGGCTAAAAAAAGGGAAGAATCAGAATGATGAGTGTATGAAGGGCTCCAAAAAATACCAGGCTAATTATATTATTATTGATCCAGGCTTAACAGTTATCTAGGGGTAAGAAATGGAATACTAGATAAGGCTGTGTAAAAGTGTTTGGGTGATTTTGGAATACTGCTCATATCACACTCAGGCAGCATTTAAATAAGAGGAATTGTATCTAAGTGGCATCAACCATAGAAATAAAATAACTAAATGTTCCATAATCTGAATTGTGATCTGTGTTCATTACCAGCCAGAGTACCTTAATTAATTCATTAAGACTTAATTCACTACACAGAACTTTTTGGAGAACTGACAGAGGAATTCACATCGTTAGGGAACAAGATTACAAAATCACCTTTTTTTCCCCTTCCCTTCCAGTTCTGCTATTATTTCCAACATTCACAGTTTTTGTTCTTAACCCCTTAATGACCAAGCCTCAGTATGCCTGTTTTGTACTTCAGTACCAAAACTATTTTGACATTTTAATGTTTGTTTTCAACCACAGTTTCTGTCGATCTCATTTATTGCACCAATATATATAAATATATATAAAATGTATTTATATTATAGGCTGCTTTTTTTTTATTTTTTTTTAAAGGTTATTATTTAAAGTAGGCATCACAGCCCATTTACTGAAGTGTATTTTGACACATTTAACGGACAATTCCTGCTTAATATTGTAGCAAAATTGTTGTTTTTCTGATTTGTTTTTAACATACACACATATAACAAATATAACAAGGTTTTTTTTCATGTATACTTTGTAAACCTGGCATGTGCTAAAACTATACAATACTCCGTATTGTGGTAATACCCCATATTGTGTTCAGCTGAACATCTTCTGAGTACAATACCCCCCAATGTATTTCACTATCATTTGAAGCCACATATAAGAGACCTGACCATTTTGACTTTTACAGTTAGAATTTTAAAGGGACACTCCAGGCACCCAGTCCACTTCTGCCCATTGGAGTGGTCTGGGTGCCAACTCCCACTACTCTTAACCCTGCAAGTGTAATTATTGCAGTTTTTTTATAAACTGCACTAATTACCTTGCAGGGTTAACTCCTCCTCTAGTGGCTGTCTGCTAGACAGCCACTAGAGGGCACTTCCGTGTCCCTAGCACAGGTTGTGTGAGGACCTCCAGCGTCGCTCAATTCCCCATAGGAAAGCATTTTCAATGCTTTCCTATGGGGAGCTCTAATGCGCATGCGTGGCATTGCCGCGCATGCGCATTAGGTCTCCCCGTCCGGTGGGCGGGATCAGTCTCGCCCAATGGTCGACATAATACAGAGGAGGAGCTGCGGCGGAGGGAGAAGCAGTGACGTGGGACGTGACGCTGCCGCTGGTAAGTTACTGAAGGGGTTTTCACCCCTTCAGCAACCGGGGATTGGGGGGTGGGAGGGAAAGGGGACCTGCAGTGCCAGGAAAATGGATTGTTTTCCTGGCACTGGAGAGTCCCTTTAAGAGATGAATTTGATAGACGTATTTCTCATTTTGGGGTATTGACAGTTCAAATCACCCCTTAAATGCATATCATGTGCAAAACTAAACATCACAGAGTATGTCATATCAATATTTTAATCCATATTGTACAGCCATTTTTGCACCAATTTCTTTCAAAGTGTATGTTAGCTTTTTTTTTTTTTTTTTAACTTGATGTGTCCCACTGTAATGAAAATCACTACATGGTTCAGCTATATTTGAATTAGTGTGTGTGTGTATATAGCAAAAAAAACTAAACTTGCCAAAAAAGAAAACATTAAACTCTGCTAATTTAAAAGTTTATACTACAGTGCAAAATCTTTTTGTGGGGGTTCCAAGATGTTGATATACTATGTCAAAGGTTTCAACGGGAAAATATAATTGGGAACCCCTGCCCTGATTTGTTTGACATGACCTATGTTCCATAAAACCATGCTGATAGTTTCTAATAACAATGTTATCCCCACCAAATGTTATCCCTTAATAAGCTTTCAAATAGTTTCCCAGCTGCAGAAATTAACCTCACAGGTCTATAATTTCCAGACAAAGATTTAGAATTGTTCTTGAATATATGAAACACTTCTGTCTGCCGTCAGTCCTCCAGTACAATTCCTGAAAGAAAAGAATTTTGAAAGATTAAAAACAGAGATTCATTTATTTCCACACTTGGCTCCTTAAGTACTTGTGGCTGAATACCGTCAGACCCTCAAGCTTTGTTTACATTAACTTTCTTCAGCTGCTGCAGCACCTTGTATTGATTCATCTAATCATAATTTTTATGCAGGGTTTTGCAGCAATCATTTACCTATCTCTTGCCATAGGATCGTCCTTATTATACACTATGGAAAAATAGTTATTTAAAATGTCTACCCTTTCCTCGTCTTCATTAACAAACACGCCCATCTCCAGGGCCGGCACTACCATAAGGCATCAAGAAGAATTAGGGCGCTCCGGCACGGTGGGCGCAAATATCTACTTGACTATCAGGAGAGGAGTGCACAGCACTCTTCTCCTGATGGTTATTTTCTGTAGCGTGGTCGAGCGCCAGTACCTCTGCTGCCCGGCGCCGGAGCAGAGGGCGTACGAGGGAGCTCCAACCCAGATTCGCTTTTCCTGTATAGCTCCCTTGCACGCCCTGTAGAGTTCCTGGGAGCCAGAATGTGACGTCATATTCCGACTCCCGTGCACCACTATGGGGCGCGCGAGGGAGCTATACAGGAAATGCGGATCTGGGTCGTAACTCCCTCAGAGGATCACTGCGGCAACCCACTGGACCCCAAGCTGTGAATCCACTCCAGTTCTCCAGAAGTGTGTGTTTCTTTTTCACAATACTATCCCTCCCTCCCACCATTGCCCCAGTACCCCACACTGCTGCCCTGCTCCCTCAATTCAGTTACCATCCCCCAACCACCATAGCCCCAGTCCTCATAATGCTGTCCTGTCCCTTAAAACTGTTCCGATTTCCCCCCTCCACCAGAGCTCCAGTCCACCACAATGCTGCCCTACACCCCACAATACCATGCCTGCCCCCATACTGTTCCTATCCCCCAACATAACCCCAGTCCCCAACAATACTGTCCCTATCCCCCCTCCCACCATAACCCCAGACCCCTATACCCCCTCCCACCATAACCCCAGACCCCTACAATACGGCCCCTGCCCCATCACAATAAAGCCATAACCCCCCACAATACTGCCCTTATTCCACCCTTGCTAAAGCTCCTATCGCCCCCACAATACTGCCTCTGTTCCCCGATATTACTACTATAGCCTCTGTCCCATAGACACAGTACTGCCCCTATCCGCCTACTAAAGCCCTATTGTACAGCGCTACCGAATTTATTGGCGCTATGTATGTTATAATAATAATAATAATAATAATAAAGTCCCTATCCCACACAATTCTGCCCCTTTGCCCAACACTAAAGCACAGTGACACAGAAAGGAGCTGAAAGTAAGAGACACTGGACAGGGGGGATATAATATACTAAAGGAGGTAACATATTCAAGAGGGGATATGTAACACTAAAGGGAATAAGAAATTCAAGGTTTTTTTTTTAGGCAAACAGGTGAAGATACATTTTTGGGGGAGGGGTGGCAAACTGCATATTCACCTGTGTATCCAAAAATCATTGCACTGGCCCTGTCCATCTCTGCTTTCAGTTTATGTGTGTGTGTGTGTATGTGTGTATATATATATATATATATAATTATTTGTTTTTGTTTGTTTTTTAGAATTGATGTGCTTAAAAATGTTTTGGGCTTCGTTTTGCTATCTTTGGTTATCATTTTCTAGTCTAGCCACTCTGCTTGCCTTTTTGCATGTTCCTTTTGAAGAGCCCTCCACTCTATCTGCAGTTCCAGCCTCCAGTGCAGCCCGTCCCACCCAACCACCATGGATAAGGTTCTCCCCTCCCTGGCAAGCCTCTGATAAGGGAGGAAGACCTTTTAGTATGTTTTTTGTTTTATTTTTTTAAATCAAAAGTTTTTTTTGTTTTTTTTAACAACCCCTCTTTACTGCCCATGTGTCCCTATACTGTCCTGTGCCATCCTCTTCAGCCCCTGTCCCCCCTATTGCTTTTGTGCCCTCCTCTTCAGCCCCTGTGCTCCCTCTATAGCCCCTGCCCTTACCATACTGCCTCTGTCCCCCTTTTACAGCCCGTCACCTCGCTACAGCCACTCTATTTCCTTCTATAGCCCCTGTCACACCTCTGCAGCCCCTGCCCCCTCCATACTGCCTCTGTCACCCTTCCACAGCCTCTGTCGTCCCTGTGCCCTCCTCTTTTTCTGCAATTTTGGACGCTCTACCGTCCCCGTGGTCCCTCTACTGCCTCACCCCTCAACTGTCCCTGTTCGCACCCTCTACTGTCCCTGTCCGCCCCCCACTACTGCCCTTGTTGCCCCCTCTACTGCCCCTGTGCACCACCATATTGCCCCTGTCCCCACCTCTACTGCTCATTTACCCCACCATACTGTCCCTGTGAAACCACTATATTTCCTCAGTGTCCTCCTCTACACCCCCTGTGTCCAACTCTACTGCCCGTGTGTCCCTCTCTAGTGCCCATGTGCCTCCACCATAGCCCTTATACACTCCTCTACAGCCTCCAACTCCCCTACTTCACATCCCTTCCACTACAGCCTATATTCCTCCACGTGCAGTCCCTAACCCCCTTTTACACGCCATAACTACACTACAGCCCTAACCCACTTTTACACCCTGTGTCTGTATGTCTCTGTATGACTATATGCCTGTGTCTGTATGTCTCTATATGACTGTGTCCGTATGTTTCTGTATGACTTGTTCTGTATGTCCCTGTATGACTGTGTCCATATGTCTCTGTATGACTGTATCCATATGTCTCTGTATGCCTTGTTCTGTATATCTTTGTGTGACTATGTCTGTGTATATATGTCCCTGCATGCCTGTGTATGCATGTCTCTGCATGCCTGTATGTATCTGTGTGCCTGCGTCTTTATGTCTCTGCATTACTGTATCTTTATTTCTCTATATGACAGTGTCTGCATGTCTCTGTGTGTGTCAGTATGACTGTATGTCTGTGTTTGTATGACAGTGTACCTGTATGCGTTGATTGTATGACTGTGTACCTGTATGACTGTGTTTGTTTGATTGTATGCCTGCATAATTCTGAGACTGTGTGTGTGTGTGTGTGTGTTGCTATTTATCTATGTCTAAATGGCTTGGGAGGGAAAAGATACACAAAGGGCCATGAGGGGAAGAGGGACAGACAAAAAACAGGCAAAGAGGCAGGGGGGAAAAGAGATACACAAGGGGGTTTGTAAGATACAAGGGGGGTGTAAGACACACTAAAGGGGGGTACAATACACTAAATGGGGGTAAGAATTTCAAAAGGGTGGACACGAGACTCCGCTAAAGATGCATTTTATTTGGGGGGCGGGGGATGGCAAAATTCATCTTGCCTGTTTAGCCAAACCTCCTGGCACCGGCCCTGATTATATACAGTCACAATGCTCTTACAACAGTTTATTTATTTAAATACACTTTAGCTTATTTAGCACTAGCACTATTTAATTTGCAACTAAAGGGGCTCAATGTAGATTGTGTAGTGGTTATTGGATGACTTGGTTATAAACTAGTAAAGTTTTCATTGATTTTAGTGGTATTATATTTAACATCACGTATTGCTTTATAGAAGACTTTCCGTGGTGTTGAATCATACGTTAATACTGGCATTCACAGGGTAAGGGGAGATATTGCACCATAAACGAGAAGGGAGAATGTGGTTAGATAAACTTGCACTTAGTTCTTGCATATAACATTTAGCAATATCTTTAATTAAACTCTGGGTTCATTACTAGGTCTATGTGAGGACTAGAATTGCCCAAGGCTGGTTAAAGTGACTTCACTAATAAGTCATCTTTAACTTTGAACTTCTGACACTCACACTTTTTGTAATTTCAAACCTTTTTTTTTTTTTTTAGGCAGTTCTTATATATATTAAAGGGACACTATAGGCACCCAGACCAATTCAGCTTGTTGAAGTTACTACCCAGGTCTTTTAACACTGATCAGTTAATTATTGTAGTTTTTAACAAAGCCAGACAGCCACCAGAAGGACTGCTAGGCTGTTAGGCGACTTTTGGTCGCCTAACTGATGCTGGATGTCCTCACAATATGCATGGGGACGCTCAGCGTTACACAAAACTCAATAGGAAAGCATTGAATAATGCTTTCCTATGGGGGAATCCTAATGGCCAGGTGGCCATTGCAGCTCATGTGCATTGGTTTTACCCTGCCGGCTGACGTAAAAGCGGGCCCATATAAGTGACAGATGGGTTTTTAACGCCTTGACGGAGGTGGAAGCTATAGTGCCAGGAAAACTAGTTTGTTGTCCTGGCACTATCATTTTCCCTTTAAACATCATCATGCTCATTTTTTATTTACTAAATTCCGAATTGGAACAAAATGAAATCTGAAGGCAAAATTTGAAGGGTTTAAAGGCCTTCGCGTTCCAGATGTTGTAGAGTGCCGAAGGATGCCAACCCTTGCCCTATGGGGCTTAACAAATAGGTCCCCCACATCTTAAAACCTGCAAAAAGGGGGAGGATGGGTGGGAGGGAAATTACATTTAAAAAAAAAACTTTAACAGAGGGAGGTGGAGGTAGCACAGGGAGGGAGGGGTAACCTAGCTTCCCCTTATAGGCGTGCTGTGTGCAAGTGGAGAAGATTTATTTATTTTTTGTCTGTTGCCAGTGCGCTATGCGCACCGATGTCAGATTTAAAATATGCACAGAACTGAAATTAGGCAGAGTTTCCTAATGGGGCTGACTAAGTCACATGTGCCATGTCTGTAACTAGTTCCTGGCACACAAGTGCAAAAAACATAGTTTTATTGGAGAAATTCTTAAGCTCAACTGGGTCACAGTTTGGTTATTTTAGTCCTAGCCTGCATCTTGGAACTGAGATTTAAATTTGTTGCAATTTGGAGTTTACTGAATAAACTCCAAAGGGCTATTCACTAAATTGTGAATTGCTGAAAATTCAAAGGGAATTTAACATTTAGGCTACAATTGAAGGCTGAACTGAACTTTTTTTTTAGACACCTAAAAGGGTTACTCCAACCACCATGATTATGTCAGTGATTTGAAGTGGTTATGGTGCTAGGATTCTGGATGCGCAGCATTTCTGTTTGTAATTTCTTTGAGGAACTCATTTTTGTTTGAAATGCTGCACATACAGAGATATATAACTTTTTGTGTCAGGGGGCTAGTGACAACCCCTGCATACGAGATTTGTTCAGCATGGAACTCTGTTCCAGACCGCCGAATGTCAATTCTGTGCATATTTTACAAATTTCAGTTTGACAATGGACATAATTGCCTTCTCTTTTGGAGGCAGAAGCTTCCTCACCTCATTCCCTCTGTGTTGTCTTTTGCTACTCAACATTAAATTAATAGCTTTTTTTTTTTTAAATGAAAAACCCTCCCCTCGTCGGCTCAGAGCCTGCAAAATAGAACGATTGGAATGCTCTATGGCTGCTGTGATGTCTGGTTTTGGCGAAGAGATTTAACCTCCCTGGTGGTAATCTCGAGCGTGGCTCAGGGTTAATTTTCAGTACCAAAGCTGGTAACCCCAAGCCACGCTCAGGATTACACTGTAGTATCACTTACCTTGTCCCTACGAGTCCCTGGTGTCCACCTACAGTGTCCTATGCCCAATGCTGGCATCTGGCCTCCGTTTCCCTGCCAGCGCCGCCTGGCAGAACCAGACGGGAAATAAAAAAAATAAAAAACATACACACAATACATTGTAAAAACAATGTACCACTTGAACATACTGAGATAATCAGACTGCCAGGGAGGTTAAAGTATGTTTTTAAAAAGTTTTTTTTCCACCATTTAAGGGGGAGAGACCTCACTAGAAACATCCAATAGGGCATTATAAGGTACAAAACCTAACGTGTGAAAAAGAGTTTGAGTAACTTTTTAATGCAGTGGTTTATAACACCAATTTAAAAACAAAACTGATTACAGTCCCCATCATGCTGAGCTACCATACCTAATTATATTTGAAAAATACTACAAGACTGAACTTAATGCTAGTAAATAATTAGATTATCTATGTATTTAAAGTGTGTCTAGAGGCAATGTAAATCAGCAATCCTCAAATTAAAACAAATAAATTCTGTAACTATCCAAAAAAAAAAAATACAAGTTAAAACAAGAAGTAAGATACTTGAGGAAGTTATGGGAAGGATTGAGCAAGGTGGGGTTTCCACAGCTCACACTGGAGTATATAACCCAGATCTTTTCTTAAAATTCTAGACACCACCAGCTGGAGATCTCTGATAGGTAAGGGAAACCTTGCATGATATTTTCTGCTTATTTTATGTTGAGTTAACATTGCATAAAACCTACATCGACATATCAATTATATCATTATACTTTAAATCAGATACTAGTTCTGCCAGTCTTTTTATTTTAATGACTTGTTACATTTCTAGATTCACCTGGCACGCTTTGATGTAAATTGTGGATGAAGTAGATTAAGTGACAATTCATTACAATCTGTGTTTATAAACACTCGGATTTAACCCCTTAATGTCCAACGGTCGTCATAGCAATTTGTTCTTTATGGATTCTGTACGGAAATTAAGGGACCCACTCCATGTAGCTATCAAAGCAAAATAAACAGAGGATCACATTAGTTTTTTTTTAATGATCCGATTGCGATGACATCAAGGTTTAACAATTGGTCATTAAGGGGTTAAAAAGCCCTTGATATTCTTTATGCCACACCTTCTGGAAGTCATTTTTTTAGTTAATATTTTACAGAGTTTAGTACCTAACTGTAAGTAATAAAATATTTGAAAGTGATCGAAGAACTGAACTAGAAAATATTATATATCTAGCAACTCAATTGTGATTATTCAGAACACATTCATTCCAAATGACAGAACTGGGGGGGGTATAGCTCATTTGGGGGGGGGGGGTGTTAACATTAAACTCTGATTCATAGCACATTTAAAACTGTAATTGCAAAATATGCTGATCTGAAAAAAATCCCCAACTCCGTTATTTTCATCTAAATGTTGGCGTTCAGATTGGGATTCACTACGATTCACAATGTAGTTAATCACCTCTTTGTTGAAAAGAAAAAATTGTTGGAAAAATTTTGCTATAGTTAACTGATAGCTATTTTATTCTGAATCTTGTCATTTGTCTTTCAACTGGCTATTTAGTGAAATCAAACTATGGAACGATTCTTGCAAAGTGACTTTACTTAATTATTTGTTTTTTTTAGGAGAATTTCTGTTCAGTTTTTAGGGATAACCATTTATTTTAAGTAATGTAGCTCCTGCAATATTACAACTAATCTGTCAGTTGTTTTTGTTAAAAATTGCCACTTGTCCACTGTAGCTTCATCAAGCTGCTCGCACCTTCCCCAATTTATGTTGGTCTATGACTCCCATAATTCTCTGGCATTGCCATACAGAATTCTGGCTGCTCTAGTTTAAAAACATGGAGGAGCAAAGTTTACCGACCCCTGGTAATCATCAATTTGTTCCATATTGTGTAACGCTGACACATTTAAGTATTGGGTATATTACTCTCTTTTATGGATTTACATCCCTCCCAAGAAGTTAATAAATGAGTGACATATTTGTGCGATTTAATTGCGGGTATGAAAGTTGGCCACTATCTGCCTGTAAATTCTGTTTGGTTGCTTATTTCTAATGTGGTTCCAGAATCCAGCTGTTTGGTTGTAATCCATTCTGTGTTCCTAGTGACTATTGCAAAATCTGGACATTGATAAAACTTGTGAACAATGTTCAAATGTTATGGCCCTATTGCCCCTGGATGGTGCCGGATTATTACCTTCTAATCCCTGAGGTCAATGTAAACTCCTTTTTTTTTTGTTTTTTTTCTTCAAACTTTACTTTTTATTTTGTTTAGTTGTAATTTGTACTCACGTTTAACAAAATCCTGTCTGTAGCTTCAGTTTAAACTTTAAATTCATATCAAATTCTGATACATTTTAAATTCTACATATTCCTGTATCACTGGGTTCTGACCAAACACTGATTAGAAGAACATTACATCATTACTTGTTTTCTGTTGTGGGAACATCAAACCAAAATAGTTGTGTAAAGATTGTGGTTTTATCAAGCATTTACTGTTTTTGTTTGCTTTTTGTGGGTAACATTAATGTTAAGATTACTCATGGTTTTAATTATTTAGCAATATTATTCAGTACTTGGATGATTTTTCAGGGCTAACTCCCAGTCTCGGAGGAGACAAGCTCTAATTAATTTGCTTGTACTAATAAATCTGGAAGTATAGAACATTTTTCTACCTTTATAAATCTGTATAACTGGTATTCTCTAGCGGTGGTTCCTAACCTTTTTCTGGACCAAGACACACTTTAATAAGAAAAAAATATACTCCACCTCTTTTATTCTTTTAACCTTCATCAGAACATTGTAAATATCACATTTGAAGCCTTTCTAGATAGATATTGTATACATACTTTATAGCGAAAATGTTCTATTTAATTGCCAGATGGGAATCACAATTTTAATGCTGACACTTACTACAAAAAAATAAATAAAAACAAGACAATTTAAAGACAATATTCAACATATTACCACTCTGGTGTCAAGGTGTTCATGTCACATTTTAAGGACAGTATTCAACCTGTTACCACTCTCGTGTCAATGTGTTCATGTCATCATTTTAAGGTGGTTTGAGGCATACCGTTTGAAAACCACTGCTATCAAGTCTTGCCATAGTAATAGGCAGACCAAGCTGTCCAATATCCGGTCACTACAGTAGTTAGCCAAGTGGATGATTTTCAGTTTTTTATTGAGAAATGTAGATGAAAACTCTTAACATTGTGAACTCAATTTCAATCAGGTTGTGAATAGGCTTCATCAGTTTTAACAAGTTTGATAAGCAAACATGACCACCTGCCTGAGAACATGTTCAGAAGTGTTTTTAATTTCTTTTTCTTTTTTTTGTGAATCAGTAAGCTGCCATGTAATTGGCTGCTATGTAGCTGATATTTTTATAATACAAGCTTACAATATTTTACTATTTTATCTATATTTGGGTGATTAACTGTAATGCTCCAGCAGGCCACATTTTATAGTTAGATATCTCTCCTTCAGTATGTAATAATACTTCAATCATTATAACCACTATAGCTTGCTCCACAACTATTGACCGAGCCAAAACCTCCTAAACCAGAGCTTCTGCAGGCTCTCCTGATCTAAGCCTTGCAGTGCAGGGCCAGCTAATTGACAAAGTGTGTTGGTTGACTGCTCTCAGCCAATGAACTAAGACTTGCACTGCTGGGTTTGGCTCAGAAAGAGAACCTCCGGCTCTTTGGTGGAAGTAAAGAATACCGCTAGAGAATACCAGTTATCCAGATTTATTGGGCTTACCCTACTGTCTAAAATAGTCGAAGACGTTCCAGGGCAGTGAGCTGTAGTGGTCATGGTGCTTGGAGCCTTCCTTTAAACTGATAGCACCACTCATGTAACTTTTCTTGCCTTCTTAAGCAGAGTGATTATCAAGCACAGACTTTTACATGGCTTCTTGAGGTGGATAGTCCAAATGCTTAATGGGCACAAAGAAAGATATTCACATAAGTAACCATGTTGTGGATTATATATTAAATATATTCTCTTTTCTTTTTCAGAAAATTGAGCTGTATCAAGGACTGCCTATAAATATGAACGAGACGGATTCCAACTTCTCCTGCTACCACCCTTCAATTGTGGACTACCGATATGTTGGAGTGACATGGGGTATCATCGTATCCATCGTGGGTACAGTAGGAAACGTGCTTACTGTGCTGGCATACCTTCTGGATAAGAAGTTACAGACCCGTTTTAACCTACTCATACTCAATCTGACCCTGGCCGACATCCTGTATTGCTCATTTCTTCAACCTTTCTCCGTAGATGCTTACCTCCACCTGTACTGGAGAAGTGGTGCCACTTTCTGTCGAGTATTTGGCATGCTTCTGTTTGTCTCCAACTCTGTATCCATCCTGAATCTGTGCCTCATTGCCGTCAGCCGATATATACTCATTAGCAACAACAAACTCTTTGATAAGATCTTTTCCAAACATGGAACATTACTCATTCTTTTGGGGACTTGGGTGATAGGGTTTGCAAGCTTTGCACCACTTTGGAACGTCTTTGTTTTGGTGCCTAAAGTATGCACCTGCAGTTTCCACCGGATAAGAGGAAGACCGTACACCACCATTCTGATGGCATTTTACTTTGTTATTGGTCTTAGCTGCGTTGGTGTCTTTTACTTCCTAATTCACCGTAAAGTTAAATCTGCTGCTAAAGCTCTGGACCAATACAAACTTAAAACTGCTACAGTGCCAAAGGGACATGTTGCTGGTGTCACTTCAACAACTCCAGGTGTATACCACGAGCTAGACAGTGGGGTGGATACTGCAGCTTCAAGTGAGGTAATTTCGGAACAGGTTCCCTCTTCCAAGAGTAATATTTCAAATATTTCTTCTCAGTCCACTGACCAGGTGAGATCAGGAACAATATCAAAACCTAAAGACGCTGGTTCCGATTTTAAAAAAGTTACCCGTATGTGTTTTGTGGTCTTCATCTTTTTTGTGGTGAGCTACATTCCCTTCCTGCTACTCAACATTTTTGATGCTAAAAATACAGCCCCCCAGATGCTTCACATGATTGCTGCAAATCTCACCTGGTTAAACAGCTGCATTAATCCCATCCTCTATGCCGCCATGAACCGTCAATTCCGTGATGCTTACAAGAGAGTCGTCTCACTCACTGTCGGAAAAATAAGAAGATGGTAAATAAAAATTGGACATTATTACTTGGATAAGTCACACTGAGGAGGATAAATGTTTACTCATATAAAGTCACTGAATTTAGTATTTTATGGGCACAATATGAAAGTATGCACTGTAAAATTGTAACTAAATTATTTTGTCAATGTGTAACACTGCTGTTTTGTGCCTGCAGCTTCTCTGTTCTCTGTGTATATATAAATGCTATATGTAAATAATAAATGTTTATATTTCTATAGTATTGTTGTACTCTCTTTTTCTTTTTATATATATATATATATATATATATATATATATATATATATATATATATATATATATATATATATAAAAAATTTATTTTTTTAACAACTCGTAGCATTAATGAATATTCGCTGTAGATGTTGCAGCTTTAGAAGGCTGTTTGATCTTGACAGAAATTCTATAGCTATAGCAGTTGTAGAAAGCTGGTTTGCCAAGAAAAGCCAACAACACTTTTAGAGACTAGGGGCTCTGCAGAACAGCCTTTATTATATATATATAAAAAAAAAAGAGACACAATTTCTGAGACAAACAGCCTTTAAAAAAAATATATAACCTAAATATAAATTATATAATATATAAAAATGAAACAACTTTTCGAACCACACTGTACAACAATTATGGATTGCTGCACTTGTAATGGTGTTCTATTCAGTGGCGTACTAAGGGGGGGGCGGAGGGGGCAGTCCGCCCCGGGTGCCACCAGGGTGGGGGGTGCCATGACCAGCCCCGCCGGCCCCCCCATGCTGCAGCCGCCCGAGAGCTCTGTAGAGAGCCTCAGGAGGCTGCAGCTTTGCCCAGGCGGTGCGTCCATGAGGGCGGACCGCACCGCCCGGGCGCAACCTGAGGAGAGGGGCTGACAGGAGGGAAGCGCTGAGAGCTCCCTCCTGTCACTCCCTCAGTTGTAGCGTGGCCGAGCCCTGCCTCATGATGGTCCGACGGGTACAGGGAGCAGCTGTCTCCTGTAGCCGGCCGGACTAACAGGAAGTGCACACTCAGTGTGCACTTCCTGTTAGTCCGGCCGGGTACAGGAAACAGATGCTCCCTGTACCCGCCGACTATACAGGGCTCGGCCACGCTACAGGGAGGTAGGGGAGAAAGAGAAATTAGGAGGGGGGGTGAGAAAGAGAAATTAGGAGGGGGGGTGAGAGAGAAATTAGGGGGGGTGAGAAAGAGAAGGAAATTGGAGCGGGAGGAGAGATTGACATTCATCACATACACACAATGCATTACACACACAGACACACATACACAAGCAATGCAACCGTTACACACAATGCATCCCTTACACACACAGAAACACACAATGCATTCATTACACACACTCAATGCACCCCTTACACACATTCAATGCATCCCATACATACACAGAAACACAACTTGCAGCCCTTACACATACAAACACAATTTCACATAATGCATTCCTTACACACATATCAGGACATCCCTTACACACTCCACCCCCTGTGAACAAACTCATTGGTGGAACATGAAGGTGGGACCCAGACCTTGAGCTGTGTAAAGGACCCCCAAAAAATGGAGCTGCTTCCCATTCTCCCAGAACATTGATTTTTGTGACCACAGTTACAAACCGCCTCCAGAGAGCCTGTTCTGCACCAGACCAGTGGAGCCAGACTGCAGCTAGAGCCCATCATCCTCATCTGGTTGTAAGTAGGCAATCTAGTATATTATTCGTGGCACTAAGCTCTAATTTACCTCACATTAAAGAAACACTATAGTCCCCAGAACCACGTCAGCTTAATGTAGTGGTTCTGGTGTCTATAGCCTGTCCTTGCAGGCCTTTTAATGTAAACACGGCGGCACTGCAGCACTGGCGTTAGTTAACATGGCAAATCATATGGCTGGGGCATTGTGATGTCACATGGGGGGGGCGGCAAACTTTACTTTTGCCTACGGCGGCAAAAATCCTTGCACCGGCCCTGGCTGGAGGGGGCTGTGTGAGCTGTGTCCCATGGTAGTTAGGGTGCCGTGCCATTACAGCTCACACAAGCAAACAGCTGATAAACTGGCCGCACGGAGGAAATGTGTATGTGTGACTGTCTGCCTGTGACTGTGTGTGTGACTGTCTGTCTGTAACTGAGTGTGTGACTGCCTGTAAATGTGTGTGTGGGGCTGCAGGAATTTTGTAGAAGGGGGCGGGGGTTTTGTATTGGGACAGGAGTCTTTATAAGGGGGGATAAGCAGGGGATTTGTGGAAGTGGTTTGCGGGGGTTTTGTAGATGGGGCAGTACAGGATTTGTAGAAGGGGCAGGACAGAGGTTTTGTAGGAGGGGCGGGGCAGGACAAGGGTTTTGTAGGAGGGGCTGACAGCGGTTTTGCAAAGTTTACAAATTGTAAAAAAAAGAAAGAAAACCTTTAACATTTTGTACAGGTTTTTTTTTTTTTTGGGTGGGGGAAGGGGGGCGGGGGGTGCCAAGCACAGGATCCGCCCTGGGTTCCAAATGCTCTAGGTACGCCCCTGATTCTATTTCCTGGTTTGTGTGAAAGCATTTTCAAATGTTTTGACACAAAGCAAGGCTGTTCTTGGAGCATGCGTACAGCCCCTCGCTGTCCACATTGCTAATTACAATAGTGGATTGTAGTGGTTATAGTGCTTAGAGTCCCCTTTTAACTTATTATAAGAACAAAAGTTTCCCCATAGGAAAGCCGTCAGTGCCGCAGAAGGGCCTCTTGTGGATGTCAATATAGGACATAAAAATCTTCCTGGCCATTACTCAGCCTGGAAGGCTAAAAAGTGATTTTTAAAATAAAATTTTAAAAAATAATCTTTGGGCAATGAGTGTCTTTGGAAGACAAGACATTTTAAACTTTCATTAGTCTAATACTATCCTTACCTTTTTTGTCATTTTACCCCACTCCCTCTAGCACAGTGATGGCGAACCTTTTTGAGCCCGAGTGCCCAAACCGCAATACATTCCAACATTATTTCTCCTTAAAGTGCCAACACGGCAATTAAACCCAAATACTGAGGTTTAAGTTTAGAAAAAAACAACTCGTACTGTTGTCCGAACTAATAACTTTTGTTTTAAAAGAACACAGAGAGTTCAGTGATACAAATTTTAAATAATGATATAAATAGATAAAATTAAGCTTATATTTATTAGTATCTCCAACAAATGCAATACATACACAGACAGACTGCTGAATACACACACACACAGACCGCTGAATACACACACACACAGACTGCTGAATACACACACACACAGACTGCTGAATACACACACACACAGACCGCTGAATACACACACACACAGACCGCTGAGTACAGACACACACAGACCGCTGAATACACGCAAACACAGACAGACTGCTGAATACACGCAGACACACACAGACTGCTGAATACACACACACAGACTGCTGAGGCACACACACACACAGACTCACATACACACACACACAGAGACTGCTGAGGCACACACACACACACAGAGACTGCTGAGCACACACACATGAGACTGCTGAGGCTACTACCACCCACAGAGATCAAGTTGAGTACACACACACACACACTAAGGCTGAATACACGCAAACACACACAGTCTGCTGAATACACGCACACACACACTGCTGAATACACGCACACACACACTGCTGAATACAGGGTGCTGCGGGGGGGTAGGGGTACTGTGTGTGGGGAGTTGGGGTACTGTGTGTGGGGGGTAGGGGTACTGCTGGGAGGGTAGGGGTACTGTGTGAGGGGGGTAGGGGTACTGCTGGGAGGGTTGGGGTACTGTTTGTGGGGGTAGGGGTACTGTTTGTGGGGGGTAGGGGGTACCTGTGTGTGTGGGGGTAGGGGTACCTGTGTGGGGGTAGGAGTACCGCTGTGGGGGTAAGGGTACCGCTGGGGGTAGGGCTACTGCTGGGGGGAGTGGTAGGGGTTACTGCTGGGGGTAGGGTTACTGCTGGGGGGTAGGGGGTACCGCTGGGGGGGTAGGGGCTACCGCTGGGGGGTAGGGTGCTGGGGGTTAGGGGTTACTGCTGGGGAGGGTTAGGGGTACTGTGTGTCAGTATACCCCCCCTCCCTCCTTCTTACCTTTAATGAAGGGGGGGGGGGACACAGCCATCCCTGGTGGTCCGGTGGTGGTAAGCACTGCAGGGGGAGGGCTCCAGGAAGCAGCTCCCCTGTCCTCCTGCGCAATGCTGTGTGGAGCGTTGCCATGGTAACGCGCGGCAACGCTCCACACAGCATCGCGCGGGAGGACAGGGGAGCTGCTTCCTAGAGCCCTCCCCCTGCCTCCCGACCCGGAAGCAGAGTAGGCGCCTGCCGTTTCGGGCAGGCAGGCGCCTACTCTGCAGTGATGGCGAACCTGTGGCCGCGTGCCCACAGAAAGGGCCCGGCGTGCCACCTGTGGCACGCGTGCCATAGGTTCGCCATCACTGCTCTAGCATGTAAGTTCATTGAGCAGAGCCCTCAACCTCTCTGTTCCTGTGTGTCCAACTTGTCTGGTTACAACTACATGTTTGTTCGTCCACCCATTGTAAAGCGCTGTGGAATTTGATGGCGCTATATAAATAATAACATAATAATAATAAAGGGAATCAACACAGTAAAGGAGGAGACTATATTTAAAAGAAGAAAAACTACCACAACAAGAGAACATAGTCTTAAATTAGAGGGACAAAGGTTTAAAAATTAATTTCAGGAAGTATTACTTTAGTAATAGTGGATGCATGGAATAGCCTTCCAGCTGAAGCTATAAGATAAGGCCAAGGACTAATGAAAGTATTTAGAAAATTTGGCAGACTAGATGGGCTGAATAGCTCTTATCTGCCGTCACATTCTATTTTTCTGGATTAGCCCTGTACTCTGACTATTACATCAAGTATGCCCCTCCTTTTTTTTCTATTTATTTTTGTAGTGCAGCGAAATACAGACAGATGCATAAATAACAATAACACAAGGAGGTATGACATTATTCTCAGTCAAAGAGGCAAATAACATGTTACAAAAGCTGTACTTTTTATGTTAAGGACGTATTCTGCTAAACATTTGTGTATGAGTGTGAGACAATGTATGAGATTCAAAAAAAAAAAATCATCAGACATGAAGATTAATGGCTATGACATATAAAAAAATATTTTAAAAAGTAGTAGAAAAGCAGGCTATGAGCTTTAGAGTATAATTCCGGCCCGGGGAGCCCAGCACCCATGCCTGAGGTAAGTAATGCCCCTGGGTAATTATAAATGTTAGGGTAGGTGAAAGCAAAACAGAAAAAAAGAAAAACCAGATTACTGGAAAATCCTACAGAAAGAGAACATGTCAGAGGCATAAATAATTGCACAATCAGGATTTACAAGTCAACCGACCCCCTCCAGTGGCACCAGATGGTCACAATTTGGTATGGCTACTTGTATGCTGCATGTTAGCATTGCGGTGCAGCAGGTGCGGAACCCATGCATTCTGGAAAGATAAGCCTGCTGATGGCGGTGACATCTACTGCTGTATGCCAATCTTCTGGGCCAGTGCCCGATCTGAACTGAGTGGGCCATGCTCTCCCCCAATTATGCATCTCACTGCAGCCGACATTTTAGGCTGCTCCGACTGCTGCCACCTGTCTCTGGCCCTTTTCTCACCCTCATCCGACACAACTTGCTGCAATCTGGATGATGATCTCCTAGGAGGGTGTTTTCTCCCCTCCTACCTGACTGGCAGATGCAGACGTTGGACCAGCTTGTCCCAGAAATCCGCGAAGATCTGGTCTAATTTGGAGGTAAGCTTAACCTGGTCTCAGCAGTATGCACCTTGACATGAGGCGTCCTCCATCTTGGAGAGAGATTTCCATTCTACTCAGCAAGACAACCTTGAATAGGAGTTGCAGGAGGGCCCCAGGTTGAGGACTGGGATCACCCCCACTAGTCCAAATGGGGGGAAACGAGACCAGTACAGCGCAACTACAGAGATTCAACTTGTAACTGTAGTGCAGGATAGCAGGACGGCGACTGTCCGCCTCACCTCCTGAGTAGGCCGTAGGTAACCTGATATCTTAATGCCCTTCAAGGGGCTAGAAGGGAGAGTGTAGCTTCAGTCTCAGCACCTCTGTGTAAGCAGGGTGGCTGCTTCAGGGCTTCAGATAAGTAGATTAAACGATAAACGATATTGCCTGAAAGCTGCAGGAGCCAATCATTTATACGACCTTTCAGCATGGCGGACCATCCAGCCCTTGCCCCCCTCTCCTCTCTCCCCAGTATGTGCCTCTTCCCCTCTTAAATTATGATGTGGGAGGTATGAAATAAATATTTTATGAAACTGCAAACCCCGTATTGGATAGACATTCCACCTCTTCCCTACACACTATCACATATTTCCAGTTTTTTTTTTTTTTGTAACCCCTGTGAATATTAACTGAAGCTCCATTTATGTACACTCTCTAGGTACTCTGGGGTTCTCAATGTTCTTTACAGTCTTTTCACCTTCTACTCATGTCTCATTTTGTTACACGTACAATACCTGCACATTTGCATTGCATCCATGATTTGAACCTGTCAAGCTAAATAACTGTTAAACCAGAAAAGTAAACCCTCTCCAAAGAAATAACCTAGCTAGACCCTATTCTGCAGAAATACTTTTTAGCGATGCTAGGCCATTTTGATAATCTGCAATCACCATTTATGTTTATCTAAAGTTAGAACATAATATGCTATTGTTTGCCTATAAAATTATTAACAATTATCTACCTATAATCATAAATTCCAACTAGACTTCCTCTTTCAGAATTGGACTGACTCACCCTAAGCAAAATATAATTTCTGTCTCTATTTCCCCTTCATGATTATTTTTATTAGTTTAATTATAACACCAACAAATAAACATAGTTCTATTTTGTGATGAACTAAAAAAAAATGTTTTGAGGAATGAATATTCATGAGGATTAAAAGGACCCGTTTAGGCACCAAAACAACTTATTGAAATCAAGTCCCTGTCTCTGGCTCACCTTTAAGGGTTAAAGCGTCCATGAACAGTTTAATCCCAAAGTCTGTGCTCCAGCACCGGATCTCATTGCTCCCTGTTCTTCCTTTTGCTGAAAGGCTTTAAAACTGAAGATTAAGGCTGCCGCAGACTTGGGCACCGCTGATTTGGCAGAGAGCGGTCAGCTGATGCTCTCAGCCAAATAGTGGCTTCCCATAAAAAAAACGCTTGAGAAACGTTTCTCAAGCTGTTTTTGTGAATGGCTAGTCTCTGATTTGTTGAGAGTGTCAGCTGACCGCTTTCAGCCAATCAATGACTCCCCTGGCCATGGCAGCCATAACGTTCTATTTTGAAGTTTTTCAACAAAAGGAAGAACAACCTGGCAGAGAGATATGGTGCTAAACACAGATTTTGGGGATAAATTGTTCATAAACGGATTAACCGCTAAAGGTGAACCAGCGCCTGGGACCTCTTGGCACCATAACAACATCATTTCATTTTAAGTTGTTATGGCGCCTGTAGTGTTCCTTTAATGTTCATACAAAACACTGAACATAAATCTGATCTGAACTTGTAGGCAGACACTTGGTTTCATGACATTGTCATGTAGTTATGAATGCTAGCAATAGCAATAACACCTTATGTTGCCTAATATACACTACCTGACCAAAAAAAAGTTGTCATCTGGAGTTAACTAAGCAAATAGGTAAGAGCCTCCTATTGGACAGTTACTGCATGGACAATTATCTTTCAGCTGGCAACAAGTTATTTAACCCCAACTGATGCAATGAGTAGCTTTTCATTTCTTAAAAAAACATGTCGAAAGACACATCCCATGGACGTGGAAAAGATGTTAGACTATTTGAGAAGGGACAAATCATTGACATGCATCAAGCAGAGAAAACATCAAAGGAGATTGTAGAAACTACTAAAATTGTCCAACGCATTATTAAAAACTGGAACAATAGTGGGGAACCATCGTCTATGAGGAAGAAATGTGGTCGTAAAAAAATACTGATTAATTGTGATCGGCGAAAACAACAGTAGAACTCAGGGCTATGTTTAATTGTGAAAGTAAGAGCATTTCCACACGCACAATGAAAAGGGAACTCATGGGATTGGGACTGAACAGCCTTAAGAAAACCACTAATCAGTAAAGCTAATAGAAAAAAAAGGCTTCAATTTGCTAGGAAGCATAAAGATTGGACTCTGGAGCAATGGAAGAAGGTCATGTGGTCTAATGAGTCCAGATTTACCCTGTTCCAGAGTGATGGGCGCATCAGTGTAAGAAGAGAGGCCGGTGAAGTAATGCACCTATCATGCCTAGTGTCTGCTGTACAAGCCTGTGGGGGCAGTGCTATGATCTGAATGACCAGGTTATTCCACCAATGGATTTTTTCTTCCCTGATGGCACGGGCATATTCCAGGATGACAATGCCAGGATTCATTGGGCTCAAATTGTGAAAGAGTGGTTCAGGGAACATGAGACATTATTTTCACACATGGATTAGCCACCACAGAGTCCAGACCTTAACCCCATTGAGAATCTTTGGGATGTGCTGGAGAAGGCTTTGCGCAGCGAACTCTCCCATCATCAATACAAGATCTTGGTGAAAAATTAACACTGGATTGAAATAAATCTTGGGACATTGCAGAAGCTTATCGAAACAATACCCCAGCGAATGCGTGCCGTAATCAAAGCTAAAGGCGGTTCAACAAAATATTAGAGTGAATGACCTTTTTTTTTGGTGGCGACTTTTTTATTGTCCGGGCAATGTATATGTTCCTACCTACATAAGAGGGCATCCAGCTATGCCTGTATAATGATTGGCACAGAATAATGGGAGGTGTAGTTCAACATATCTTTTAATGTTTGGTCCACAGAGTGGAAAAGGAAGCAGCACACCCACAATATACAATAAAATCGTGTTACTTTTGCAGACAGGGTGCAAAGTACTTGTGTTATTTTCTGTAAGTTTAAAATAACACAGAAATCCTGCTTTGCTATCATACTTAGGTAAATGTGACTGTCCAGATTCCAAAACCTCACCACCAATACAATTATAAACTCTGTTTTTTTTGGCTAAGTCTCTAGGCATGGGTGGAATTGATGTTTTGTTATTGAGACGCTAGACGTACAAATGTTTTTCTTTTCTCCCTATTTGTCTTTGTAAGAAGGGATTAATTGAATATTTTTATATCTCTCTAGTCATTGTTTTCATTTGCTTAACAATCCAAACTGCAAATTGCATTTTACATTTTTTGTTGTTGTTGTTTTATGTATTTTTGGATTACATAATTTGCCTTGTTTGCCTTGGTGAATTAGTTAATAGCGCATTCAACAATAAAACATGAGTATTTCATATATATTTTTATAATATTTAAGCTGACTTTTTTTGCGGGGGGAGGGGCAGTAAAGTGATTCACAAGGCTTAGTGTGGCATGTTTTTACATATGTCACATAAAATCTATCTGGTTTTGTCAAAACACATGAAAAAATACGCAAATTATCCAGATATCTCTGATCTTTCCGCAGTATTCAATTAAACAATGGGATATACACTCATTTAATATCCTAAATAACAGTATTTGCTGTTGAAGATTAATATATTGCCATTTCAGTGAATTATATTCACACATTTACAAATAGATTATTATTTTATTATTATTTTATTATTTATATAGCGCCAACAAATTCCGTAGCACTGATGGGTGGCCTAACAGACACATAATTGAGATCAGACCACTGACGTACAGGAACAGAGGGGGTTGAGGACCCTGCTCGATGAGCTTACATGCTAGAGGGAGTGGGGTATAGTGACACAAAGGGTTAAAGTAGGGGAATTAAATAGTTTGTTACAGAAGGGTTTATTGAGTGCTTGGTAGGTCATTTTTGACAGGTGCAGGAACGGAGTCATGGGGTGGGGGATGAGAAACCTGCTGACAGTTTAATTGATACGCTTTAATGAAGAAGTGAGTTTTCAAAGATTTTTTGAAGGAATGGAGGCTGGGTGAAAGTCTGATTGAGGGGGAAGGGAGTTCCACAGAATAGGTGCAGCCCTGGAGAAGTCTTGAAGGCGAGCATCAGAGGTGGGGATCAGGGCAGAGGATAGGAGTAGATCTTGGGCTGAGCGCAGGGGTCTCGACGGGACATACTTGTGTATGAGGGAGGATAGGTATGTTGGAGCAGCATTATGTAGGGATTTGTAAGCAAGCGCCAGAATTTTGAATTGGGCCCTATATCTAACTGGAAGCCAATGCAGGGACTGACAGAGCGTGGAGGCGTGGGAGGTGCGACCGGACAGGAAAATAAGCCTCGCAGCCGTATTCATTATAGATTGCAGCGGTGCAAGCTGGGAACATGTAAGACCGGTGAGAAGGGGATTGCAATAGTCAAGGCGAGAGAGAACAACAGCATGAACCAGTACCTTAGCCGCGTCCGGCGTTAGATATGGGCGGATGCGCGCTATGTTCTTGAGTTGGAAGCGACAGGATTTGGCTATCGATTGAACATGGGGAGTAAAAGAGAGATCAGAATCAAAAAGAACCCCTAGGCAGCGAGCCTGGGAGGTAGAGGTGATAGTAGCGCCGTTGACTTGGATGGAGACAGACACAGGAGTAGCAGCACTTGAGGGAGGAAAAACTAGAAGTTCTGTTTTGGACAGGTTGAGTTTAAGGAAGTGAGCAGCCATCCAGTTGGAAATAGCAGAGAGGCAGTCAGAAACACGAGTCAAGGTGGGCGGAGAGAGATCAGGGGAGGACAGGTAGATTTGCGTGTCATCTGCATATAAATGGTATTGGACG